TAGGGTCTAGGAAGTCTGAGCTGGGGAATTTTTGTCCCAGCTCTGCCTATAATTTATCTGGTGTCTTTTAGGAAGATATCAGATAAATTAAATCTATTTCTTTGAGACTAATTAACAAAGCTATAGAATGGGACAATTCAACTAGATGGTCTCTAAGATCCTTTTAAGATCTGGCAGGCTGTGATTCAATTATTTCAATTTCAGCCTATTCAGTTTTGTATTCTTAAGCCAGCACAGTGCACATAACAAGTGTTTATCATGAATGCTCCTAAAAATTGCCATTGTTCAGCACCTGAGCCAAACGCTACCTCCCAGGTAGATTTATTAATCAAGGTCATTACAACCTCCCAGGAGTAGAGAAAGAAACAGACAATGAATTCCTGTTTACAGTCATGAGTCACTTACTGCAAGGGGGCACCCATTTTGAGCAACGATTTCATCATTGTGTGAACATCAGGGGTGTACCTATACAAACCAAGCTGGCTACGACGTCACCAGGCAGTATAGCTCTGGGGGACCATCTTCATACACATAGTCCATCATTGGCCAAAATGTCACTACGAGCAAATAACTTATGCTCTTTTGGAGCAGCAAGAGTTGAGGGTTAGTTGACAGGAAACAAATCCCTGCAGTGGCATAGTAAAATCACAGTGGACCCTCAGATTTGCACAGCAAATTACCACTGGTCATCCTCTTTCCTACCCAAAATCCAATCGGATCCTCCTTGAAACTGTGTGCAATCGTACAAGAGTGATCATCCCAATTTTACAGACTGAGAAAACAAGTCTCAGACAGAGGAATGGCAGGAAGTCAGTGGAAGCCAGGATTCAAACTCATATCAGGCAATTTGTCATGTTCCACGTCCCCCACCACCTCACTCTCTTTCCACCCCCAGTTCCAGACCCATAAGTGACCAAGTAAAAGGCACAGGGAGATATCCTGGAGGAGAACCTCAGCCCACGGCAAAGTCGGACAGGCTAAACAAACCTCTGTTAGCTTTGGCTCTGGGCTCCAGCCTCTCTGCCTGGCAGCAGAAGCCATCCTTTCCCCCTGCTGTTCACTGTTCCTCCCTGCACTGCCTTGGCTGGGACAGTGCACCTCCTCCATGGCTCTGGCTGCAGCAAGGTGGCCAGCTCCTGACCGCCTCTTGCCCCTAGAGCTCTGTCCTTTCAAGGCCAAGTTTATTCTGGGGTCAATGCAAGCAAGAAAGTGGACAGAGATAAGAACAAAGCCAATCAGGAAAGAGGTCAGGGGTGGAGAGCAAGAGATAGAGAGAGAGGGAGGGGGGGAGGGAAGGAAGAAAAAAACAAAGGAAGGTGAAAGAGGAAGGGAGGGAGGGAGGGAGGGAGGGAGGGAAAAGGAAGAGAGAAAAGAAAAGAAAGGAAAGGAAGGTGGAGTGAAGGAAGGGGAAGAGAGGAAGAAAAGAAAGAGAAAGCGGCTTTAATAACAGGGTAATTGCCCTGTTTAGGATTATAATCCACCAGCATTTCGCTAAACTTTATGACACATGATGACAAGTTAATAAGCCAGATACCTCACTGTGTGTGTTAAACAGACGCCTCAGCCTCCTTATGCAGGGAGGCCGATAACCCCCCACCGCAGCTAAAAACTAAGGTAGAGGACAAGGGGGGAAAAAAAAAAGAGCCAGGTATGGGGGAAGAAAGCCAAGAAGGTGGGGAAACTGGTTATTTCTGTTGTCAAAATGGCCCCAGCAATAAATCACCATTAATAATACTGTCATCTTTCAAAGAAGCGCTCTGGCTGCCAAGGCCTTTGAAGTAGCAGCACCTATAATTTCCCACCTATAAAAGGTACTTTTGTGCATGTGTCACCCTGGAAGCCGACAGGAGCGAGACACCCAAGACTTCATAACTTCCCCACGCCCATCACGCCCATCCTGACAGGCAACCACCTGGCGCCTGCGCACTGGCCCGCACTCCCTCGCCCCTGGACCAGACAGGTCGGCTTCGCTCGGAGAGGCCCAGCGGCTGGGAGGCTCTGCCACCGCAGAGCTGGAAGGTGGGAACGAATGAGGAGCGCTAGGAGAAGCCGGTGTCTCATGACCGAGAAGAACACCTTCCTACTCCCCCTGGGCATGAACCCCCAAGAACAAAAGCCTGGGGGAACTGAGTGTCCAGGCATAGAAAGGTGGGCCTTAACCCACTCACCAGCAGAATCTCCCCAGCCCCTCGCGCAGACATAACTAGGTGCTCATGGGACCTAAATCTTTACCAGGCTTCCCCAAAAAATTGCTTTTCATGTACACAAACGTGAAAAGGGACACTGACCCAGTGTCCCTTTCCCTCCAGAGCTCCAGGAGCCCAGGAGCCCTGGAAAGGCAGACAGGCTGCTTCACCCAAGGTCTCAGAAGGAAGAATAAATGGAGCTTGTATTAGTTGGCTATAGCTGCTATAACAAATATGACAAGTTAGATGGCTTAAATGACAGTCCGGTTGGCTGGCTTCTTCTGAGCCCCTTTCTTTGACTTGTTAGATGTTCACCTTTTCCCTGTGTCTTCTGTGTGTGTCTGTGTCCTAAGTGCCTCTTCTTACAAAGATACCTGTTATATTGCATCAGGACCCACCTTAATGACTTCAGTGCATCATAAAGATCTATTTAAAGACCCTATCTGTTGGGTGTGGTGGCATACGCCTATAATCCCAGCAGCTCTGGAGGCCCAGGCAGGAGGATTACAGATTTGAAGTCAGCCTCAGCAGCTTAGTAAAGCTATAAGCAACCTAGTAAGACCCTGTTTCAAAATTTAAAATTTTTAAAGTGCTGAGGGTGTTGCTCAGTGGTTAGGCACCCTTGAGTTTAATACCCTGTACCATTAAAATATAAAATAAGGATCCTATTTCCAATATCCTATCTCCACAGTCTAAGGTACTGAGGGTAGGATTAGGACTTTAACATATAATACAATTCAGCACATAATTAAACCTCAAAACCCAAACCAGGATCAACCCTAGCCTAATGGAACAAAGGCCCCAAAAGCCACCAACCTGCTGGCAACATCTGAAACCCTCATTTCCTGAAAACTGAGATAAATGTTATTCTGGAAAACCCAACTCAGTCCTCTAATCCTCACTTCACCTGGGGGATGATTTGTCTCCAGATTTAAAATAGACCCTACTCACCCATATCCTATCCAAGATGGGAGGGTCCTCCATGATTCTGCCTCCCTTTAGCAATGAGGTCATTTTGAATGTGACTTGAACTAAGAATCTGAAGGTGTCACTAAAGTGAACATTTATTGAGCACCTACTATGTCCCCAGCACTACACTAAAAAGCTGGTATCATTACATCTGCACGTCTATAAATGACAAAGCTGGTAGGTAATCTGTTCAAGGTCATCAGCTAGTAAGGGCCTAAGTCCTGGAGCCCAAGTCCTAGTGACTCCAAATCCCATGTCTTCCTCACTTATATTTTCGGCCTCTTCTCTACCCACATAGATGCAAAATGAACAAAATTTGAGCTGCCTTTAAAAAACCTGGGGAGCTGCTGGGGGTTAAGAATAGGGGTTGATCATTTTAGAGGGGATTAAGGCTACTTTTATCTGTGGGGCATTGTTCTCAAATTGTGGCCATATATTTTTATGTGTTTTATTTAAGCACAAGTGTAGTCTATTGGTAGATAATGCTTGCATGCATTCCTTCTAAGAACCAGCTCAGCCTCAAGTACCCCGGATCCCAACTAAGATCTACCACTCCCTACTCAGTCCCTTCCCTCTCTGGGCTTGATTCCTCCTTGTCAGTGAAAGGGTTAAGCTGAGGTTTTTCTATAGCCCCTTCCTTCACTTTCACTTTTGATTCTGAGGGAAGCCCTGAAGCAGAGAGAAGATGGTGAGAATTTGCCTAAATGTTGGCTCCACCCCATCCTGGAAACCTTAAAGCTCAGCCCCAAAGCGTCCGTGAGTCCTGAGGCAGTAGAGCTCCAAGGTCTCCTGCCTGCTGCCTCCAGCCACCTCCCCATGGTCCTGCCTGGACAGACAGTGCACCAGCTCCCCAGCCAGCTGTTCGGAAATCCTCTGGTTGCACCTCATTTTCTCCACCAGCCTTGACTTTCTTGTGGGTATCAGTCACATAGTCTGAGGCCGCTGTAAACATCCACTGGTCGCATGGACACTAGAGAAGGCTGAGGGGGATCCTCTAAGGCTTGGGACCTTCTCCAGTTTCAATGACCACTGGATGATTCCCAGGGCCTGGCTGCTGTGCTGGGGACTGAGGTTTAGAAGACTTTTCCTAGTCGACTCTCATTTCGGGGCTGTGAGCAAAGCCCTTTAACCTCTCAGTTTCTCCTATGAAATGAGGGATGGGGTTCAAGGACTCCGGAGGGTGCTTGAGGTTCCAGGTTGGTCTCCCCTGCCTGCTCCCATCCACCCATGAGGCATTTCACAGCCACACAGGAGAAGGCTCCCAATACCTGTCACACACACAGAGGGACCACGGCCGCACAGCCTAGCCTGCCCTCACCTTCCTGGGCACAGGCTCCATGTTCTCTCCCCTACCACAAAAATCCTCTCTGAGCCTCAGAAGCAGCTCCCAGGACTGGACTGGCCCTACCATGGCTCCTGAGAGGACAGCTTCTTGGCAGAGATGGGAGTGGGTGGAGTGGAGCAAACCAACCCTCTTCAGCTGCCCTGGGGCCTGACAGCCACAGGGAGAGATTTATGACCTGGACAGCTTTGATCCAGCCTCTGATAAACATCAGGAACAGCCCGACCCTAAGCCCGGAGGAGAAGGTTTATGGATTAGAATGTAGCCTCCCGGAGGAAGAGAAGCAGGAAGGCAGGACCCAGGTACAGGTTGGGCCCTGAAAGCCGAGGCACTGTCATCACCCTTCCCCTCTGGCGACAGCAACATAGGGTGGGGGCGGGGGGCGGCTCTGAAACCAGAAGCCACAAGCTCAGAGAGAGGTAAAGACTCTGTCAAAGGTTAGATCGGAGTAGGATTGGAAGACATTGGCCCAGGCCTCTGAAATCCACCCCCCACTGGCTCACCTGTTCTTCCAAACATCATGGCCCGGGTTTCTCTAAATGTAGACCAAGATAAAGCACAGGAGGGAGAAAGAGTCAGATAAGATTTGACCTGAGGAAGGCCCATTCACCCAGCAGCCCTTGGGCTTTGTTGTCCCTGGTCTTGTTGTTGATACTGTTGTTCTGAGTGATGACGGGGTGGTTAATTGCCAGATTATATTTCATCCCTGCCTCCTTTCAGAGAGAACAGAAGGCCCGAGAGTCTCCCTGTGGTCACGAAAACTTCATGATGCTTCCCCTTGCCCTCCACTTGGCCCCTCATGGAGAACCCGCATGCCCTCATGGAGCATCCCCAGTCTTACTGATTGAAAAGAAATCCCAAGAACAAAGCTATCCCCATGTCCAAGGAAGGGCCAAAGCACTTCAGCTGGATGTCACCACAGATTCATTGCCTAAAGTCTAAAGTCTCAGCCGCCTCCACAAAAATTATTCCTGTCTGCACAGCAGCTTCTGCTATGGAGAACCCTAGGAGAACCTTCTCGAAGCCCGTCCAACAGGCAGGGTCTTTGCACTCAGGTCCAGAGCATGTACAGGAGACGCGTATCTGAAGTGATGCCCTAATAAACTTGCAGCTCTTCGTTGTGCCCAGCAAACCAGTCTGTGGTCCGCACATGCAGGAATAAATACGTATTTGTTGAGCACCAAATTGGGTCTAATGACCCTGGCCTGTCTCACAGGGTCATCTTGAGAAATCGCTGATGTCAGACGATGATGGTGAGCAGCTGTTCTCCATTTGCACTCAACAAGAGAAAAGGGCCTTAAATTACAGCGGGAGGGATTAAGGTTAAACATTAAGAACAGCTTCCTGGCTGGGAGGCTTGTGAAACACTGTAATGTGTTACCAAGGGATTGCTGTAGACATTCCTTTTTCAATGAGACTTTAAAAAGGAAGGAGGTTGGTGATCTGCCCAGGAGATTTTATTAGGAACTTTATTAGGTCATCTGGTCCATCCTCTTGGAGGCAAAGGTTTGGACTAAATGCCCACCAAGCAAGGTCTTTCTGGGCATAAGATGACTTCTGCAGTTTCTTGTCATCCAAAATATTGAAAAGCCAGGCAAAGTGGTGCACGCCTGTAATCCCAGCTTCTTGGGAGGCTGAGGCAGGAGGATCATGAGTTCAAGGCCAGCCTTAGCAATTTAGAGAAGCCCTAAGCAACTCAGTGAGAACCCTGTCTCTAAATAAAATATTTTAAAAGGGTGGGGCTGCGGATGTGGCTTAGTAGTTAAGTGCCCCTGAGTTCAATTCCTGGTACCCCAAAAAAAAAATAAATGTCCAAGAACTCCTCAGACCTTGCACAGTTAAAGAGAGAATGCAGAGCCATCAGTAGGCCACCATTTGGGGCCCACTTTAAGCCTTTTCTATCAGTGGTCAACTGTAACAACACAAGGGAAATGCTGTTTCCAAACCCTTCGAAGACCAGATGGTCATTTTTCAAGGCAGCACAAAGAGAAGCCTCCCCAACCCCAGGGTCAAGACCTTAAGTCAAGTGGCAACCCCCCCCCCCAGGATGAAGGGCAACCCCTGACATTGCCAGGGCTAAGAGGTCACTGATTCTGATGAGCAGGAGTGAAAGAGAAATAATACCATAACATATTATTGCCAGTGGAACAATCTACCCATTTGACAGGTAGGGAGACTGAGGCCTGGACATGAGCCAATGCCTTCACAGTGACTATGTATCAGACCTGGGACTGGAAAATCACAATTAAGAGCCTGACTTTACCCCTCACCAGCTCTGTGACCTTAAGCAGTTCATCTGACATCCTCTGGCCTACAGTAGCCTCACCTACAAGGTGGGAATGTTATCAGCATTAACCTAACATGTGAGGCCCTGCCAACACTCAACTGCACCACAGATCTGCAGTCACTGCCCTTGCTATCGGTGCTCTTAATCTCTAGTCCTTTCTGTTAGTCTAACTGCCCTAAGCCTTGTCCTCTAACTCCGAAGTGATTCTGGTAAATTCTTAGATGAATGGAAAACATCAAAGCTTTGATCTTTAAGACCAGGGAAGGATATCATTAGTCCTGTGTTTATCTTATCCAACTCCCTTGGTTTTGCAGATGAGGAGATGGAGGATGCCCAACAGCAAAAATATTCAAGGAAGTGGGGGTAGGGTGCCAAGGATCAGCTCTGTTGACCTCCCAGTACTGGCCTGCTGGCCTGCTCCCTGGCCCTGGGCATAATTGGATTGTCAGTGCATTAACTTGAAATCCCAGGTATTACTAAACCATCCTTCAGCCTCTAGTTCCCTAATAAACTTGCAGCTCTTTGTTGTGACCAACAAACCAGTCTGTGGTCCGCACATGCACCTCTGTTTCCACAGCCCTCAGTTACCTGGTCTTTCTCAGGGCTTTCTCCCAGAGGGTCTCTTGATAAAGCCCCCATGTGGGCAGCTGACAGCAATAGGGGTCTGATCAGTGATTTGGCCTTCCCAGGCTCCCTCTGCAGCCCTCCCATCTCTCACATCCTCGGTGCCTCTCCTACTCACTCACTCCCAGCTCAGTCCCACCCACCTCTAGGGTGAATTCCCACTCATGGTAAGAGGCAGGGATGCGTGCTGAGTGTCTCTTATTTGCAAAGTTCTATGTAAGTAAATGTTATGATTTGGTCTCCCTCCTTCCCGACCATGATGCAAGATGGTTATTGTACCACCTTTACAGATAAGAAAACCAAGAATCACAGAGTCTAACTAACCTGTCCTAGGCACACAAGTGGCACAAGTGGCAAATCTGGGGATTAAACCCTGGTTTCTAAGTTCTGAAGCCCATCCTTCTTTGGTGGGGCAGCTGCCACACCTGGGACTTCACATCAAGTCATTCTTCCTGAATGTTTCTGACATCACTTGCCATTTCTGATACCACAGCCCTCACCTTGTCCCCAGGCCTGAGTCCTCTGGGATTAGGAGAATCCCCTCCCCATTCCCCAGATCCTCAGGTTCCTGTGACTAACTGGCATGCCTGCAGCCACCTGCCCATGCTCCCAGGTTCTCTGGCACTGTAAGTCTCCTACCATCTGGAGGGTGCTTCCCCTCACTAGTCACCTGGGTGACTGCCCTATCTCTCACCACACCCTCTGGTGACACCTGCAGAAAGGGACTCTTGCAGAGCCTAGCCTTCCTAGGGCACTTGTTTTTTGTTTTGTTTTGTTTTGTTTTTGTCAGATTCCCCCCCCCCCAGACTCAGAAGGGCAACCAGGTGTCCTAGAATGACCTCCAGTCACAGCCACAGTAGACCAGCCATTAAGAGGTCAGACGCTGGGGCCAGGCTAACAGGGAGCACGTCCTTATCCCTGCCTTGGTTTTCCCGTTTATAAAATGAAATTATGAATACCTGCCTCACTGTGCTTTCATGAGAATTCATTGAGTGAATATTTGTAAGCAATTAAAACAAAGCCTGGTACACGGATCTTGCAACATATATGTTATTAAACAAAAGCAATGCCCGTATTCTCAAGGTTTTAGGGGTTTTGTTTGGTTGGTTGGTTGGTTGGTTTGGTTTGGTTGTAGTACCAGGGTTTGAACCCAAAAGTGCTTAACCACTGAGCCACATCCCCCAACCCTTTTTGTTTTGTTTTGTTTTGTTTTGTTTTTTAAATCTTGAGGCAGGGTCTCATTAATTTGCTTAGGGCAACGATAAACTACGAAGTTGGTCTTGAACTTGGGATCCTCCTGCCTCAGCCTCCTTAGTCATTGGGATTGCAGGCCTGTGCCATGATGCCTGGCCCATTCCCTCAAGTTTTAAAACACAGACCAGGAATCCAGTCACAGGTACATAAAATCTTAATATTAGAAAAGGATGCCTTCCTTTTACCAGCACAGTGCAGCCTCTGAAATATCTGTAAGGACAGGGAGCTCACCACCTGCCAGGTAGATTATCTCAGTATTAAATAATTTTATTTAATTCATTTTGCCCTGAGCTAAAAGTAGCCTATCTAGAGCTTCCACCTTCTGTCCTGAGGCCTGAGTCCTTGAGCCCTGGAGGCTGCTCCCTTCCCCACAGCTCAGCCCCACGTTCCCACCCTCGCACCCCTGCCCTGGGCATCCGCAGCTGTGCAGTGTGATTCAGGGCGGTTTCCATGTTGGCAGGTAATACAAACCAGCCTAGCACATTCTTCCCTGCTGCCCGCACCTTCCCTCTCCCAGGCCCCCAGGCCAGCATACCAGCACGCACACCCGTGTTGACAGCTCCCAGGGCAGGCGCTCCAGCCAGGCAGGGCGCGGTCCAGAGCCAAGTGGCTGGTGCCTGGGGACACAGTGGGTAATGTGAGCTCCCAGGAAAGTACAGGTCCAGAGAGAGGGAAGGGAGAGGCTTGTCCAGAGTCTGCTCTAACCCAGGGGGCTGGGTGAGGAGGATCTGGGAGGCACCACCATGTCGCCTGCCCTTTCAGCAGCTTGAGCCTTTGGAGCTAAGCATTGCCCTCTTCCTCCCTTCCTTTATTCAAAGTAAAATTGATGGGAAGAAGAATGCAGAAAGCCCGCAGTACTTTGGTGTGAATTAAACTGACGTTTGAGTGGGGAGGTAGGTAAATAATGGGAAGGGGTGCCCAGAAAGAGAAGATTCTGGCAAATGTAGGAAAGGGCATCACAGGTAAAGACTCTCATACAAACCTCCGGCACCTCTCAGCTTGTCCAGAAAGAGTGAAAAAGAAGAAGATATAGTATTTATTTTAGGGCTACCGCAAACTAAGCACTGCCCCTAAACTCCAACCTAAATGAATATATTTAACCTTTATAACAAGACTGTGAGATAGATGTCATGATCCCCATTTACAAATAAGGAAATCAGGACTCAAGAGAAGTGAAGCAAGCTGCCTAAAGTCACACAGCTAATAAGGGGCAGAGTCAGAAACCAAACTGAGGTCTCACTTGGTACTAATCCTTTCAACTATATGACAAGACCACATTGCCTCCTAAGTAAGGCCCGAGTGCTGTAGAGCTTCCACATAAGGCTGGAAAAGGCTTTCTCTCACACATATAGGCATACACACACCCCAGGACCCAGAGCCCAGAGGAGGATTCTGGGACCAGATCTGGTTCAAAGAGGCTAACTCAGTCTCTCTCTAG